TTAATACACCCAAGGAAATAGAACTACAGAAGGAACAATGCAGTACTGTTAAAAAACACTGTACACGTATATATATACTCTACCCCAATAGCTATGACAAGGCAATGATGACGACTGCCCTAGATAATGACATCACCCCCTTTCATGTCAAAACAGAAACCCTACCTGGTGTCCTAACCTCCCAACACTTGCCTCTTTATGAAATTGCTTTTCCATCACATTTTTTGTTGCCTCATTCATTTATGGAGCGTCACATCTTTCCCCCAGTTTTTTTATTATTTTATAGCCATAAACTTAAACAAGCCTAAATTTATTGCATGAAGCAAACTTTCCTGCTTCGCTATCATGGAAAAGAAGGTTGGTCTACTTGCGGGGCTAATCCTTGCTTTTTCACTTAATTTAAGTCCTAACTTTATTTATAAGTCACAAATTTGAATTAAAATGATAGGATGGAATAGTAACTACATTGTTTTATAATCATAGCCACGCCTAAATGTTTTAGTTCACTCATTTCATAACTACTCTTTCCGGGTTTGATTTCTTCCTTCTTTTTAGTGTTAGAAATCCTTTCTACATTATTCCTTTTATTTCAAAATTATTATTTTGTTCGGATTTTCACTTTTAGTTCAGATTAAACTTTGCACGAAAAGTAAAAAATTCAAACTGAAAAATAATTTCACTAATGTTACATAATCTTAACATTCTTGAGTTTCGGCCTTCTTCACTAGCTAATTGTCAATCGGTGGTTAATGTATAGATATTAAGAGGAAGACGAAGAGGAAGGAAAATACAAAGTGTATTTGGTTGCAATGCACATAGGGAAAGGATCTTTTACTTTGTAATACATAAATAAAATTGTTCTCGCAGAGCGGTTCTCAGTTTTCACTTGATCATTCATGGTAATTGGTAATCAAACTCCATCAATTATTCCAAAAGGCTCGAATGAAAAGTACGTGGGGTCCTTCTATAGTTTTTGATGTCATTATTATATTTTCTTCTTGAAGAGAGAATATCACGGGAATAATTAATTCAGTAGTTAAACCTAAAGATAATCACAGGGCTACAGAATAAATAGTTTAGCAAGGCAACGAACGACATAGAGCATCATGTATCCGTTTGTTACAGTGAAGTCCAGCTTGCATTTATAATTTGGCTTCAGTTAAGGTTACTTAGTTAACTAGAAACAATTATAAATCCCTCATTTTTCATCTTACAGTATTTTTGGCACTGAATCAGCAGACTAATAGCTATGGTTAATAATTATTCAACGTAGTTACATACTTGCATGTCTTTCTTAAAGTTTAAAATGCAATACTTGATGGAGTCAGGAAATTAATATAAAGAATGCAAAATTTAGAAAAAAAAATATTAATGAGTTAAGAAATTAATAAAAGTAAAGAAAATTGTACAATACATTATTTTTTATTAAAACTTAAAATCTCCACTACTTATAATAAATTAAACAGGTGCGACCGCACCCATCCGTCCCCTAGCTCCGCCACTGCTTTGGTTCGAAAACAATTATTGTGTTTATAGTAATGAAAATAATACAATGAATAAATATGGTGATAAAAGTAGATTAAAAATTGGAAATTGCGTCCCCATATGTGCATGCCGTGCATTCCTTTTCGTGTCTCTTTCAGCCTGTTAATGATTCTGGTTGCAGAGTATTGACGTGTATTTTACTATTTTATTGCAATCAGAAAAGACTGAGTATGATTTTATTTATCTTTTTTTGGGTGACCTGTGAAGTTTGATTTTGGATGGGGCAGGGATCCTGATCCGGGGGCCATGAACTATTAACAAGTAGCATGATTTGTCAAATTGTGAAGCACATTTTCTGTTCCTTCTTTTAAAAAGAAATTAAAAAATAATATTAGACAGTAACATAAAATTAGACGAAATGCTTAGACAAAAATAAGACGTAATCGGTGTTTGTTACTTATTAATTTCAGGATTTGGGTTTTAGCCTTTTTCTTGTATGAAAAAAAGGAATAAAGACAAAAAATCTACCAATGCCAAAGAAAGATAATTTCGACCGTGAAAGGATTAATGAGGATACTATTGAGTCGGCAGAGGAATCATCAATATTTAATACTACAACCTTATAGTTTCAGAAAGATAGTAAAAAAATCTGTGGAAGAATTTTGATGCCTGTATCTTAATAAAGCGTATAGTGTGTATTTGTTCCGTCTCATTCAATGCACTTTCCTGCAGTTAATATTGATTGCTTTGAGAGAATGGAACAATCTGGTTTTTAATTTATATATCTACATAGGTTTCTAACCTTTTCAAATTCAGCATATTTGAGTCTTCCATGTTGTTATTCTACTTTTTTTTTTTTTTTTTGGTTGATTGAATTGTGTTCTGCGAATAATTAATGTAAGCATAAATCATGCTCCCTCCGTCTCATAATTATTGTCTAGTTTGGCTTTTCATTTTTAGTTCAAATTGTACTAAAAGTGAAATCTCAAACTAGACAATAATTTTGGGACAGAGGGAATATATATTTTAATAACAATGTGAACCGTACTTTCGTAATCTTTGTTAGACAAGATGCGAAAAATCGCGCTAAAAGTGCAAATTGGATGATTGGAATCGACTAACAAACGAATTTTATGGCCGAAATTTCATCATCTAATAAAGAAATGGACAGTGTAAATGTTTGCTATTGCTTGTATACTCTCTCCATCGGTCCAGATTTGTGGGTAAAATCCAGTTGATGTTTTCTCGCCCTAATTCCAAGTCCAGCCCCAAGATCAAGTCGGATACGAAATGGGCCAATTGTATCAGTTTGCAAATAATATTAGCAGATCCACGCACAGAACCTTAACCTTAATTTGAGCCCCGGAAGGTGTAAAGCATCTGTTTCCTTTTCTTCTTCTTGATTATAAAACAAGGCAAAACGCGTAAAGTGCTACTCCCTTTTTTTTCGTACAAAAATAATCCGCATTATAATTTGTGAATTGTATCGAATTATAATATATATTTATATATATTTTCTTTTTAGAGCAGAAGGAATACATCACTGTTGGAGGCTGGTTTTCCATACAAAAAGTCCGCTGTACTAGTGGAAGTGCGGGTCGTTTCTATGATATATTCGACCATCCCACACGAGATAAGCCTACTGCACAGGACCAGAACGTTTTAGCTTTCCATGCAGGAGTAAGGTCTCACCGCCACAAACTTTTGCTTCATCCTCTAATTTCTGCCTTTAACCAAGCATTTTCATGATTACAAATAAATAAATAAAAATCAAAGGAAGCATTAAATTAATCAAGGTCACCCCTGGTTACTACTCCCTTTGTCCCCTAAAGATATATAGTCTATATTTTCAATATTTTATTTTTATAGTACTTTTTTTTCTCCTAAAAAAATAGTTCATAATGAATTTTTAAATTTTGTACTTTCTCCACTTACTACAATTTTTATTTATTTTTTTTAGACAAAGGAAGTATGATTCACAATTTATAACATGAATTATTTTCGTAAGACAAACGGTCAAAGGAGTATAATAATAATAATAATAACAATAATAATAATAATAATAACAATAATAATAATATTAATTATATAAGTTTGGCACGTAACATCTTATCAACTCTATATTGAATATTCCCACCAGTATATAAATAATCCCTGAATTCTTCATTGTAGATCACCTTCACCCCCTTTGATTAAGAGAAGACTAGAAAAGAGGTTAAAGCATTAATTTTTATTAGCCTGTTTCACAAATTTTGCAGTTTGTTGTCCTCCTCTCTCTTTTGCTTTTTCAGAGATGGCTTGGTTGAAACTTGAAAGCATTAATGCCACTTGTAGCCATTTTGTTGTTGATTTCAGCTTATTAGGCAAAGGTGACAGAGAGCCGGATTGCGAGGAAAGACTTAGGGTTAAAGTTGTGTGTTGGAAATATCGGGGTGGGTTTGGGTGTAGGAATTGGGGGTGCTTTCGGATCAGCAGCCTCTGAAGTAGGCTCGGCAGCGGGGAGTGGTGCCGGATCCGGAGCTAGTGGAACGGGCAGTGGTGTCTCATCCGGAGCTAGTGGAGCGGGGAGTGGTGTCAGGAAAGGCGCGAGCGGTTCAATACCAGTTCTTGTTGGCTCCGGAGTTGGTGGTTCCGAAGCTAGCTCCGCTGCCGGACCACGTGCTGGTTAAGGATCCGGCGGCATGATTTATTTATTATTATTATTTTTTAAAAAAAAGCCATTCATATGGAAGAGGCTTTTGAATAATTATAAAGTAGAAACCCTACTATATTGGTGTTTTTCCTTATTTTGTATACAGTGGATTGTGGGTGATCATGTGTGCAGACTATGTATCTCCGTATCATTATATTGTGTGTTTTAATGTAAGTTCAAGAAAAGTTCGATTTGATGTACGTTCTTCTTATTTACCTTTTGTAAAGCTTTTCTGCTGGCATACATCTACTTTGTGACGGAGTCAAAGATCGATGAAACATATTCACTCTCTTCCAAAATTATTATTCAAATTAGAATTTTACTTTTAGTTTAAATTGGATAATAATTTTGGGACAAAGGAAGTAACAATGATGAAAGAAAATGTTCATCAATACATTTTAGCTCCCCCAAACCATTTCTGTCGTCAACATATATCATTGATGGTACTACATGATTAGAACTCACTCACCCTTGGTTTGAGCTCGTATACTTTAAGTTTTGGTTTCTACTTGTAATATTTTAATTTAATTATACCACTAATATGATTGGACTTAACTCTTTCCGTTATTATGTAAAACAAAATTTGATGTAAGTAATTCTTTTGTAATGTTTCGCGATTCAATATTTTTTGCAAAGTTGTTGAAACATGAATCAACTGAACTTTATAATCATAATAATAATATAACTCATAGACAAAGAAATGTAATATTGAAATGAGATAGAATACAAAGGGAGACAGTACTAATTATAACAAAATTATATTATTTTTGGGAAACAAGCACACACTATTGACTCGAAACAACACATATTCATAATAATATTCATCGAAACAAACTCAATCGTGATTTGTAGAAAAAGAAATCTAATAGTAGGGAGAAACATGAACGAAAATACAACATAATTGATAGTAATAGAGATAAAGCGTGATTCATCGGTTGACTTTCTCGAATTTCAACTCAGGGCATGCATGTAGGTTGACTTTTCCAATGGGGAAGTGGAACCTGGAAAATTCACCTGATCAAGCCATGGACCAAGTAATAGGGACGATCCCATCATCTTCATTAAGCTTCAAAGCTTTCCAAACAGCATCAGATGCATCCACAATGTTGTTACGACAACCGTCACGAACACTGTCACATTCATCCACCACTTTAGCAAATACGCTCCGGCCATTCTTAGCCCTAATCTGGATCCTCCGTCCACACCTTGATCCTCCGGCGAACCACCCGGTCGAAAGGGCGACGATCTTTTCGTCGTTGCTATGGAATCTCTCGTCGCATGCCGAGGGTCCACTTCCCCCGCCGCTAGCGAAACTATTTAGGGTAAGCAACCCCGGGGTGGATGATGTAACCGGCGGAGAACTAGCGCTCCGTCGTCCGGCGACCGAGGCAATTGAAGAATGCAAACACACAATGCTGATCAAGACGAACAAGGAAAGTAAAACAAATGCCTTATTAGCAGTTGCCATAGTTGGAAAAAACTAACCAAAAAAGAAGCTATGAAAAATAAATTGTATCTTAGAGTTTTGGGTTTAGAAATTGGTGTAATAGCTCAAAGTTATAAGGTGGGTATAAATAGAGTTCCGGGGTAGTGTGAAAAAGTGGTAGAGAATCTAGTTTTGGAGAAGTAGCCATGCATTAGTACTGTGGAGTAAAGGTTAATGCTGGCTGGTTAATTTGTTTACATTTGACTGGGGATTTTTTTTTTTTTTGGTTGGAGGGATAATATAACGCACGTTTCAATTCCAAACTGAAAAGGTGTGAATTTTGGTGTGTTGAAGAACATGTTATGGATGTCGATATGTCGGGATAAATTGATTTTGAAAGTGGAGCACAACGACAAACATGCAAGTGAAAAGAATTAAAGAATTCTTTCTCAATATTCCTCTGCCATACTCAAAAATGAAGCCGGCGGGAATTAGTGTTCTAGTGTTGTCGTGCAGTTGCTGTTCAAAGTATAAATTCCGGTTCCTTAACTGACCAATTGAACTAGTCTAGCTCGTATTGTTTGACTTGGTCCTGTTTTCACGTGTTCTTTCATTTTAGGAATGAACTTTTTAAGCTTTCTGCTTGTTTTCTCTCAATTTGATAATTCAACAAAATAACATTTAACATGGAAGGAGTACTATCAACTATGTATTGTTTTTCTTCCCCTTCATATGAATCATGAGATAATCTTATAAAACAACCAGCACACATACCGCTCTTATATGAACTACATCATTCTCCTCACGTATGTATTTTAATCATTATTATTATATATTTAAACTATATAAATATCATGTAAGAATTTGATTTTGAAGAAAGCAAACCAATCGTCATATGTATAAATACATATGTAGAACTACGTTCAATTTAGCAACACCATTTCTTTTCAAAAAATAAAAAATAAAAAGCAACACCATTTATCTGAAGGCTTCAATGCTTTTCCTTTCTATTATTTTAGTTATAGTTTTTTCTTGCATCTTTGGATCCATCATCCATATATATCCCATGACAAGGCCCAACAATTTGGAAGAGAACATGGCTCAAATATAGCTAGCCCAAACTTTAATCGCACCTTCACTTATCTCCTTGATCATACGCACTATTCGATTCCTTGGTGGTTATTATAATATTCACGGTACGACTACGGAAGCATCAAAGTTTGATTCTTACCCCAGACACAGGAAACAGATAGCTGGACAAGGAGGCATATAATTGAGTCCAACAATCTAATCAAGTAGGCAGGTGACATGCATCTCCGCCCTCATCCTAATAATCTAGGTGGCCCAAAAAACGATCACTTACCACTATAAGTTATGGTAAAGGATATTTAAGAAGAAAATATATACGTCATTTAATTATACCATTCACAAATTATGAATTGATGATCATAATAAGAATAACTTGATATTTCCCTATATAAAAAAGTAGTTTAAAATAAATGGAAATTAAAAAGGCCAACCAGAATCATTTCAAAAAAATAAAAGCAGGCAAAGTTCTTCATTTTATTATAAGTTTATTATAACATGCATGATACATGATTGAAGCCAGAAATTATCGAAGGGTGAAAAGAAAAAGGATCGCAACAATTTTTTTATTTTTTTAATTTTTTTGACTAGACACCAACTATTTTTGTGAATATATATGACTATTAATTAGTGATTTTGATGACGGTCATTTCAATTTCCATGGAGGGTGACCCCAAGCAATGCACGTAGGTAACTTAATTATGCCATGGACCAAGTAACTGGAACTCGTCCAAGGTTTTCATTGAGCCCTAACGCTTTCCACACAGCATCGGAACCATCCACGATATTATTATCACACGGCGGCTGAAATGCATGCTCCGCATCACAACCGTGCATCGAATCACACTCGTCCACCACTTTCGCCGTCGTGCTTCTGCCGTTACCGGCGGTGATTCGGATCGTCATCCCACACCTCGCCCCGTTAGAGTACCACCCGGTGGAAAGCGCAACCACTCTTTCGGAATTACTATGGAAACTCTCATCGCATTCCGAAGGTGCTCCGCCATCCCCGCCGACGCTGAAGTCGTTCAGGGTGAGTATCGCCGGTGTCGACCCGGTGACCGGTGGCGAACAAGTGTACGTTGATTTAGTTTGACCGTTACACGTAAAAGAGCCGGACGGGAGACAAGTTCCTGACGGAGATGGGCCGGAACCGGTTGGTGGGCTGGGGCTAGTACTTCCGGAACAGATATGGGTTCCGACGTCTGGATCATCGTTGCATTTTCCGTTAATGCAAATTAGTTGTCCAGGACAATCATTCAACGTTCTGCATGAAGCGCCGCAGGAGGAGGAGGGTGGCGGGCTAGAAGTCGGGTTGCTGCTGCAAATATGAGTTCCGACGTCCGGGTCGTCGTTACATTTTCCGTTAATGCAGATTAGTTGGCCATCACAGTCATTCAAGGTCCTGCATGAACCGCCGCAGGAAACAGCAGTTGCTTGGAATGGGAGGAAACCAATAGTACTGATCATCAGAATGAAAAAGGAAAAAGTGATGGATTTGGCCATTGGAAAAAAGGAAATCTTGTTGACGTGTTTGACTATTAATGGTGTGGAAGATTTGATTGTTTTGCGCCTGTATTTATAGTAATGTGCTTGTTTGACAATGTAACCGTAAAATGTACAACTTGTATGAAATAAATGTCAACTTGTGTCATTTATCCATGATGACTTCTGACTTTGGAAGAAGTACTGCCGTAAAACTTTGGGAAAAAAAACATTGTCGACTCTCTTGACCTTATGCATTGCTTCTGAATAATATAATGTGCCTATGTTTGAAACATTCTTGTAGCTAGTCTACGGCCAAAGATAAAGTTGACGTTCTCTTAACCTAGATATATAAGAAAAGAATAAAGATACCGGAAAAAATGACAATAAAAAATGACAAGAAATTGATAGTATTTTATTTTTTACACTTTTTATTTGGGGTTTAATCATTTAGAATTATGACACAGTTTTTCGTATTGACAAATCATTCTTTATAAGTTTTTTATTTTTTGTAAATTTCCCTGTATGTATAGTAACTCATAAGAAAAAACCTACAAGACTATGTATTGAAACTGTTATCTTTTTAGAAAGTAAAATCCCCTAAAAGTTTATAATTCATGTATCTTTCGTACCTCAATAGGAATTTAGTCCTATAGAGAACATATTAGTCCAAATATGATACGCTAGTGTTAAAAATAATACGGTTACTGTACATAAAAACACACACCAACGCGTAGTGTTTTTATCTGCCATTTTTTTCCCTCTTTTTTCAAGATTTAAAGTAAATGGGTAAGTATGATTCATATGTTACCTTCAATTAAACTGCCTAAAAGCACCTACACTCCAGCAGCCACCAACTTGCTTCTCTTAGTAGGTTGATATGTAGTTGATACACTTGTGCTTCATTTTCAATATACCATATTGCGCTGCTGTATTTACAATTTTGAATTGCCCTCAATCGCAACTGCTTAAATTCGTCAGCAAACCGCCAAATTGCTTCATTAACTTTTCTGATTTCTTTTTACTGCATTTTGCAGTCAGCAACTTGCTTCATGGATGCCATTGCTTTCACTTTCACTTTCCAAGTAGATCATTTTGAGTTTCAGAATGTTTGCTTGAATGCACGCACCCAATTGAGTTCAAGAGTTGGTAGATTGGTTAATTTACTTGACTTTTGACAACACCATAATTAATCATAATTCCAATACCACAAGGGATGTCAAACTCCGACAATAATGTTGGGTCGGTCAAAAGCCGATTTCGGGTAAGTCCACTTTCAGATATATCAAATTCTGAATACATTGTCGGGTTAGTAAAACCAGGAAAACAACCAGATCGATCAAAGTCCACACAAGTTAACATAGCATGACGAACATCTATGATACTATTTTGAAGGTCCATATAAATTCATGCAGTTTTATCTCAAAACAAATATATTAGTTATGAAGGAAATAGCACATAGGACTAATATGGTTGATCATCATAAGAAGGCTGGAATCTACGCAGTTCCTCATAAAGCAATTTAAAATTAATAAAAGAACATTAAAAGGTGAATTCGGAAACAGTCCTGTTATTAATTTGTGCTCGCAAATCAGTAATCCATTGTGGCCTAAAATAGGACTGAACCGAATATATGCGGGAATAAGCTCTCTAGATTGAAAAATTCTACTGTATGTTTACCCAAAAAAAAAAAAATTACTGTATAATTTGCAGCAACACGTGTTAATAAGATTAAACGAATCAAAATTATAAAAAGACATAAAAGTACAAGGGTAAGTAGTAATGTAGTATCATACTATCACTAGATGCTTGCACTGGGCGAATGCCCGGGGTGTCGCCTGTATTTTTAAATTGATTAAATAAAAAATACGAATCATTCTTAAAAGAAAAAAAAATTAGAAGAATAAAAAATCGATTGAAAGGACGGAAAGTGAGTTATTATACATAAATCTATGTTCAAATTTACAACATTTAATTTATAACACTTAATTTATATCTGGGTTTACATAAATCATAAATCAATATCTACAACAAAAGAATAAAAAAAAATCATCCTTTAAAAAATCAAATTTCTTTTATGATAGCTTATTTTTTCTCTGTTGTAGAAAGAGATGGATTGATAATTGATGTCAGATTTTAAGTAATTGATTTAAAGGCTCGGGTGTGAGAGAGAAGCGGAGTGAAAGATATTCTTTGAAATTGGGGATTAGGAAGACATTACTGGTGTATTACTTGAATTAAAGGGATTTTCTTACATGTGATTTTATCAACTAAATATTGTTGTTTTAAGTGATTAGTATATACCTATAATTAAGATATTTTTATGTAGCTATAATTAAGAGATTTATGTATTTATCTATTCTATCTTTTTTTTCTGATTAGTTATAGTGGCACGTGTCAAAAATGATTTTGTACTGAAAATGGCTTTTGGCGGGAAAATTTTCATTATAGTGTCGATACATGTCTTTTTGTTTGCTACTTTAATTAAGTACTATAGATTAGGTTATTAAAAGTGAAAGAAAGATAAAAGTCAAATTGGAAAGAATGTAGTTTTGCTGCATTTTGTGAATTAAAAGCAACGGATAAAAGAAAACACACGTTGGATCTAACCTAAAGCAACATAATAAAATGATTAAAAGGGAAGCTCAACTTACAGTAGAGTTTCTAAAATGTCGCCGAATTCGGAATTATACTACAGCGCACCTGATCAGCAACAGGAGATGGAAAAATCCTTATTACCAATTACGAAAAGTTTCGAGCACAAAACACCCACTGAGATTCTACCCCACTATTGGATCACAGCTCAATTGGATCGAAGGTTCCCTCGGCTGCAAGGATTTTCATCTTGAGTTCTTCAAGCTGAGATTCTACCCCACAAGTCTTGAGCGCATTTAGCTGAGATGGCTTCATTAATCTGCTTCTCTGCTTCTACTTGACTGCCATCTTCTTTTTTGTAGAAACCAACTTCTCCAACTTTCCGAAACTTGAGCATACGGTGGTGCATCAGCTCCTCAGGATTCACTATTCTTAATTCCTGCAAGCATTCATATTGTTAAGCTATGTCATTAAGCTCGATCGTTTGCCATGTGTCTAGGTTTTTACTAGTTAAAAAAGCTACAAGTTTCTTAAGATAAGATAAATATATTCAGGTCCATTTATGGGCAAGCACCATAATAATTTTTGTTGCTTATTTTATAAAGAGACGTGATAGTGCAGCTTACATAAAACTTTAAGTTTGGGAGATTTAAAACTACTTTACCTCCATAGCCTTAATAATGGCCAATCTAATTCCGAAAGAATGATCATCAGGGTCCTGGAGGTAATGACAGCAAAAGGATTAATTCACCAACCATTTATCCATGACAAAAGCTATAGAGAGATGATTGTGCATATATAATGTTGCGACGAATGAAAATGGAACAGGGAAAACAAGGAAACAACTAAACAAGCCAGCCTTCATTTGCATACTAGTAAAAGTTGACGCGTTTTGATTTTTTTTAAAAAAACATGTAGTAATTAGAAAGAGTACTTCATGTAATAAGTAATACTATTAAAATCACTTGAAGGGTAAAGAAACCTGTTAAAACTGTTTACAGTCTTGGTGTTGGATTACGATTTGCTTACATTTCCCTTATCGTCGGTTAAATTCACCCTCCTCCAGAAAGGATAAAACCAATTGCAGATTCAATCGCGACATACAATAAAATGCACTTACCCGAATGACATGACCTGCAACCCTTAGCCTGAAATATTGTTCTTGAGCGACAAAGTTCACCTTTTCAGCTTCCTGTTAAAACGTGCGAGAGATGATAATGTAAGTAGCCAGGCTTTTTTGGAAACCAAAATCCCCTTGGCAATTGTTTGAAAAGAGTACCTCACGTGCTGCTGAGGGTAATCTTTGCAGTATTTCTGCACATCCTCCCGGACTAGTTAAACAGAAAATAAACAAGCAATAGAGGTTTCAGATGATATATTCGGCAGTAATATATGGAATGAGACTCCATATGGACTACTTCAAACAGCACATTTTCTAAAAGAATGTGTAGCTTTTGACATTAATATTTCATGGTCTATATATATGGCCTAACATTATTTTGTTGCTTTACCAATCCAGATTATGACTGTTGATCAATTATAGGCATCTTGAGTAAGTTCTGTAGATGTTGAAAAACTTATCATAGTTAAAAGGAACTACTTTGCTTCACAATGCATGCTCCCATGTAGGGAAACAGATCAATCAGAAAGACAAATTATCACCTCCCAACATAAAATGCTGAGTTCTCCATCATTAGCAATTTGTTTGCACAAGCGATCAAAAGACCACAGCAGAACCACCTTCGCCAGTCACTATTGTTATAATTGGAACTTTCAAGGCAAACATTGTCCTTAAATCTTGTGATATTGCTTCATCCTGCAGGATTAATTGAAATTACAGTAAGACAACTATGCACAACATATGTAAACTATAAATTTGGAGTTTAAAGAGCAAGACAAGCAGCAATTGGCCAAGTTCGTCCGATTTCAAATCAGCAAAAGAACCTGTTGTGTCGACAAAAGTGACAATGGGGAAACCAAACTGTTCAGCATGTTTCATCATTTGCAAAGCCTTTTTGCATCTGCAAAAAAGTTTAGTTACAATCTGTATGTTACCACCCTTGGTCTTTTAACCAAGAAAAAAAAAAGAACCATAAAACATTGATTAATATCCTACATAGCAGAAGTGGCATTAAACTGCACGTATCATTTTCAAGGAGGAAAACTGAAAAACTCAAGTTGGTCCTATGAAAGAAACGGACTGAGCTTTTCAGAAAGCTTGAAGGCATAAATAGTATATAACGGTGACAAAATTTTTTTACCCTTTCTTATGAAAATAAACAAATATCTGATGAAGTACAATATGCAGTACATTTAGTCCTGTGGAGTGATCTTCATCGTCTCAGAACATGAATGTGAAGTGAATCTTACCTATTAGAATTCTGCTTTGTGTTCCTTCGGTGACCAATGAACATGTAAGTTTGAGATTCAATGCTCCCTAAAGCAGTCACAATTGCTGGATCATCATAACCTTCTCCATCATCTACATGGAGTCGTACCCACTTTAGGTATCATGTTTGAAAAAGCATAAGACTTAGCACTTACATAATAATGTCATTAACAAAAAAATCAAATGGAAGATGGTAACATATACACCTTTTCTGTGATTTTCTTAATGTGATCAAGAATTGTTGCCCTATTTGGATTTCTAGCAATGGTCATGTGCTGAATTGGCGTCAATGGCATGTAAGAAAGTCTGCGAGCCTGAAATTACAAAACCAACTTTGTAAGTGTAGATGCTACGCATAAACCAAATTCCTCAGGTGTTGAACTAATTAATAAGTTAAAATGGACTAGGCACAAAGAAATTTCTCACTGAACTAAATTAAAAAATGATATGAACCAAAATGCCTATAAATTACCTTATAACTCTTATTGCTCAAAAGAGTGATCTGATCACCGAAATCTAATCCAGTTTTTTCAACGCTTGTTTCACCTGACCGAAAATTAATCATCAATAAGAGTTCATGAGTTGAATCAAAATGAGAAGCATAAAAAGGTTGCATGGTAATCAGAGCTAAAATTCACACATCTACATAATATTGCATTTTCAGAAGCAAAATGAGACTACATTTAACTAAATGTTCCACCTGGAGAAGCATCTTACAATAAAAAGAGCTAAAAAGAAAAAAACAAAATATACTCAATCTAACCTCATCGATGTCTTCCTCCAAACAAGCGAGTGGCTTCTGAAATGAAGGGAGTGGCTTATACATTCCCTTCTTTGGATCCCTATGATTATATTCCATAGCCTTCAAGTTGGATATAAACTTTTTTTTTTTTGGTTGCCTGCCACGGTTTCTGGAGTTTTGCCCGACTAATCCGTTAGTCGACCCGGGTAGCACACCTGACAATGGTGAGTGAGTCTCTCAACAAGAGTTTTTTGCATCCACAAAATTTCGAACCCGAGACCTTGCTTAAGCGGTATCAAGCTGCTTACCACTTGTGTCAACCCCAGTTGGTGATATAAACTTTTTTAATGGATGGTCACATTTTGGATCAAAATCATCCTCATCAACATCATCGTTTTCGTCGGCGTCGTCGTCGTCGTCATCATCATCATCATCATCATCATCATCATGCTTATTAATGTTCACCTTCTCAACCATTAATGCGGCCACCGAAAACTTGGGCTTGCTCCTCATCACCCCAAGTCCTTCCACATTTTTGTACCAAAAAACCCTATCTAAACACTTACTTATAAACATGCCCTTCTCTTCTCCCTTACCTATTGCAAATGTGGCGACGGAGGCGATTATAGATAATGGTGTAGTCATCTCCAATAGCAATCAATTACCTGGAATATTATAAGTAATTATATAAAAAATATCATGATCAATTTGCAGTCTACGAACAGTAGGATTGCCAAAAAAAAAAAAATTGATTGAAACAAAAACCTCAAGTATCATACGTTCAACTTCCATCCCAAAAACTAGTCTACAAGGGAACAATTTTCTTGGGTCCGTGAGAATAATGTACCCAAATTTTAGTTGGTAGAAAAAATTATTTTTAGGGTTGGAGGGGTAGAAATTTATATGTTTCTTGCATTCGTGGTATGCGAACAAACTGGTATTCGCATTTCTTATATGCAAACATCTTTACGTAAGTAATTAGTTCAACTTAAATAAATAATATCAACAAAAGAGATAACTCAAAGCAAAAGTGTGGGCCATCACACAAATTTCGCAATTGACAAATGCGAACATATTAATATATGATGAATTAAACCAGACACAGAAAAGAAAGAGAAAAATGTGGGCCATCACAAAACCTTCGCATTTGACGAATGCGAATGTATTAATATATGAATTAAAGCAGACACGGAAGAAAGAAAAAAGATGTGAGTCATCATAATATTTTTCGCATTCAACGAATGCGAACAACAAATTATAGGTAATAAAAAAAACGAAATCTTTTTATCCTATTAAAATCTGATTGGTTTATATTTTATCGACACGTGGCAATTGCTGACAATTTGGATAAATGTTCGCATTTAGCGAATGCGAATGTGATGCCTAGACTCATAATTTAAAACTCATCACCCCCCCTCCCCCCAAATTCGGCAGAACTAAAAACCATCAATTCTTCTTGTATTCAGTTGAAATTTTCATTCGGGTGGAAGAGGCGGAGCAGGAAAGAAGCATTTTTCAGATTGAAGGTTGGATGGTTGGACTGAACGGGAGCAGGACAGAGGCAACCCATTTAGGTAAGTTTTTTTTCTCTATGAAATTTGTAAAATTTATACATTCTATTGTTATTTGGGGCTATTAATGTTGTTGTGGTGTACAAAATTACTAAATTTAATAATTTCGGTAGTTATTGAGAATTGGTTTTAGAAAATTTGCTTCAATAAATATATATTTGATGTAGAATGAAGAATAAAAATTATTTTTGTGATGTGAATTGTTGAATTTTGTTGAATATTATGAGTTATTTTATTAATTTAGAGAATAACCCGGTTGATCTCGAATTTTGGTCTTTAAACCTCAATTTTGTGAATTTTATATTCTGACCCAATTATTTGTAATGTTATTGATTTGACCCTATTTTATTTTTTTTTATTCTTTTAATTTTATATTTTATCATTAGCGTTGAGTGCTAAATTCATGTATTGTTGAATAAATTTAGTTTTAATTGATCAAATACATTGTGTAAATCTAAATTTATTAGTTTGATCAAAATTTGTTATTCTTTTAATTGAAAACTTTGTTATATAGATGTCGAATTATATTTTTTGAATTATTAAATTATGTTAGAGATTTTTCACTAAAGATAGGACTTATTGTTAGTTTTTGGAGTAAATTACTGTTAGTGAGGTAGAATATTGTTATAACAAGCACGAATTGATGTATTTGTATGTTGAATTGAATAAAAATTAAATGTGCAGGCCCTTAATATGTCTTTTCCGGTTCCCTTCGATCTGAATATATTCTGGTCTAGTGATCGATCTTGTTGGGGATATGGGGAGAACTTATTTATGCCCGATGCAACAGTTTGTATCGATCGAGTGTGGAGTTTCTCTGAACTTGATAATTATGTACACATGCTGTTGGAATATGAAAACCAACAAATACTTCCTCTGCAATATGTTTTAGTCTGCACAGATGAGTACAGCAGAAGGGGGCAAGCTCCCATAAGAGACGACGAGTCAATGTCATGGATTTACCGAGGTGCCCATTTGCGTCCAACATTGTACGTAGAGGTTGCAGATGAACCTGTTCAAGATGTTGGGGAAGGAACTAGTGGTGGTCAGTATGATGGTGCAGGGAGTAGTGGTGTTGGTGGTACCAATGAAGATGACGATGACACAGAAGATGACGTACATGGGAACAGTGACGAGGAGTATGTGCCGTCCGATGAGTCTGATGATGATTACAGTGACCATGACGCATCTTCAGTAGTAATTTCTATTTTTGACGACATCAGTGACATGGACAAGTCTGAACTGGATGAGGATTCTGATGGGATCACAATGTGGGACGGTAATTGACAGATAGTTAGATATGGTGTACATTTTGCTAACAAGAAAGAGGTACAAACAGCTGTGGGGGAATGGACATTGCGACAGGGTCGGGCATGTCGGGTAAAATATAGCCGTCCCTATACGTGGGCCGCTGAATGCGAGACTAAAGGGCCGAAATACCCAGAAGAACTTCTCCACGGCACTACTTGCTTGTGGAAATGTCGAGCTACCCTGCAAAAAGACACAAATACTTGGAGAATGGTGGTATGGATCGAGAGCCACAACTGTCTTGGTGCAACCACAAGAAACGAAGGTCGTAACTTGACGTCCACAATGATTGCTCGGTTGATCACAGCCAATGTCCGAAAAGATAGGTAGGTAAGTGTTTTGCACTTCATAATGCTTTGTTTATTTTAATTTTTATGTCGTGTTATTTCGTTTTTGTTCTAGTTTATTTATTCCATTGATTTCTTTGCATTTACGGCCGGTGAATTTAGATATAGTGGAGTTGTTGTCGCCGGCGTTGTTGTTTTTGTTGTTGTTGTTGTTGTTGTTGTTGTTGTTGTTGTCGTTCGGCGCCGACGTTGTTACGCTGTTGTTGTTGTTGTCGGCCGGCGTTGTTACGCTATTGTTGTTGTCGTCGGCCGGCGAATTGTTTTTTTTTTGTTTTATTTTTTTTTAGTGTATTTGTATTAGTTTGTTTTATTTTTATTTAGTGTATTTGTATTAGTTTGTATTATATTTATTTAGGGTATTTGTATTATTTTGTATTATTTTTATTTAGTGTATTTGTATTAGTTTGTTTTATTTTTTTTTAGTGTATTTGTATTAGTTTGTTTTATTTTTATTTAGTGTATTTGTATTAGTTTGTATTATATTTATTTAGGGTATTTGTATTATTTTGTATTATTTTTATTTAGTGTATTTGTATTAGTTTGTTTTATTTTTATTTAGTGTATTTGTATTAGTTTGTTTTATTTTTATTTAGTGTATTTGTATTTGTTTGTTTTATTTTTATTTAGTGTATTTGTATTAGTTTGTATTATATTTATTTAGGGTATTTGTATTATTTTGTATTATTTTTATTTAGTGTATTTGTATTAGTTTGTTTTATTTTTTTTAGTGTATTTGTATTAGTTTGTTTTATTTTTATTTAGTGTATTTGTATTTGTTTGTTTTATTTTTATTTAGTGTATTTGTATTAGTTTGTTTTATTTTTATTTTGTGTATTTGTATTTGTTTGTTTTATTTTTATTTAGTGTATTTGTATTAGTTTGTATTATTTTTATTTAGTGTATTTGTATTTGTTTGTATTATTTTTATTTAGGGTATGGAGACCGTCTTCGCAGTCTAGACAATATGACCTCCAGCAGGGACCTATAGATAAGAGTTTATTGGTCCTTCATGATGATCATAGGTCATTCCATACATTTAGGGGTAATAAGGCTTATTTGAAAGAACTTTCCGCATACCGAGTGGATACTGACCTATTGGCCTGAACTGGACAAGGTTGCCCCACAGATACATGCCCAAGTAGCAAAGTTTGGTCTAGGGCCGCTTTTTCGAATGGGTTCTATTAAGTTAGATTGGCCCTCATTACAACCTTAGTTGAGCGATGGCGGCCTGAGACCCATTCATTTCACTTGCCTGTTGGAGAGGCGACGATTACTCTACAGGATGTCGAGGTCCTTTTGGGTCTGCGGGTTGATGGCCATGCAGTGGTTCAGGGGACAGTACCTCCGCAGGATGTGGAGTGGGCCGATTATTTACAGAGTCTGTTTGGATTCCGACAGCATCCTAAGGCCACGAAGGATAAGGTAGTAAACATCACAGATATAAAGAGACACATTATGACTAATCTGCTACCCGGAGATGCTACAACGGATATACACCTTCAGCGGGCACGTTGTTTTGTCGGATGGATTTTAGGAGGGTTATTGTTTCCTGATAGCAACAGAAACATTTTTTCCCTGGGCCTGGTGGGGTATTTGGAGGACCCAAATACATTTCGGGAGTTTAGTTGGGGTAGTGCTACACTGGCGTGGTTGTACCGAAATCTATGCATTTCCTCGGTGATCACATTGTCTGGACAGGGTATTTGTGGCTGCTTACTACTCTTACAGGTAATTTCAAACTCCGCTCTTGTATTTGTATTTGATTGTTAGTTTTTTATTCATTTTATTTTAATTTTTTTAGATTTATTTTTATTTTCCTTATTTGTAATTTTTTGTTAGAATCCTATTATGATATTTGTATTTTATTGTTAGTTTTTTAATTATTGTATTTGTATTTTTAATTTCACGTATTATTTTATTGCAAATTAGTTATGGGCTTGGGAGCGGATTTTGACTTTCCGTCCGGAGTTACGTGGGCCCGTACCAGATCTTCAGGGGTGTCCCTTGGGCAGGAGGTAATTAATTTTCAACTATTCAATAATTATCTTAATTAGTTATATTTTTTGATAATTTTTTTCCGTTTTTTCAAAACTATATTTTTTGTATGTGGAACCGTCCTAGAAAAGTGGGATACATCACACGATTTAATCTAACCGCCTATCGAGACCAGCTTGCGGTTTTGCAAGAACATAATGTAAGTATTTTTTATTTGAACCATCATAACATATAAATCAATTTATTTTTTTCGTATGTATTCACATAAATATTTTGTATTATCTGTCCCTCTACAGTTTGTTTGGATGCCGTATTCTCCTGCTATCCTAGCAGACATTGATCCATCTTGCTCTGCCGGCTCCGCCATATGGATGTCCCAGACTTGGCTGCTTTATTTTGGTATCCGAGAGCCACACATCCCAGGTAGGGTGTTGCGCCAGTTCGGCTTCTTACAGTGGGTGCCTGACAACACTTTCATCATGGAGAAAAAAGAAAGAGAAAAGTTGCATAAGGAGACGCGTGGTAAGAAATGTCGAGATGACGTCTTACAGAGGTGGGAGACTCGACACAACACCCTTGCAGGTCTTCAGACGGATATGACTCTTGAACCCCATGCAGAACCGGAATATCTAGTGTGGTATCAAAATCGCATTGTCACTTTGGTCACCAATCCATCAGACTATCGTCAGCCCCAGGGTTTTCAGGGATCTGCTGAATCACTACATATAATGGTAAGTTACAGTTCTACTATTTCTTTAATCACACCCATATTAATATGATTTTTATACATATAACTTTCAATAATGTTATTTCCTATTTTTAATTTACCATATATATGTTCATTTATAAAATATATTTATTATATATTTTTAATTTACCATATATTTATTTCCTTTCATAATTTTCAGGCCAATTTAGTGCAAAACATGCGGCATATTACTCTAGATAGGCTACAACGTAATCCAGCTGATTCTTGGAATCACAATGCCTTCCTACAGCTGCACGATTTGACACAAAGAGTAATGATCACAAGAAGACATTTGTTTGGGCTGATAGTAAGAACCCAAGCCAAGATTTTGTTCCAGCTGACCCAACCCAGGAGTATATCCCACCTAGGCCTCCCAGGACTGACCGAGGCGGCTTCCAGTTAGGGAGTGGGAGAATGAGAAAACCTGTGGCCACCCAGGATACCGGCGGGCAATCTTCTACCCCGCATGTGTCTCCTTACCGTCGAGCATCGCCACACCACCATCCCTCTCCTCCTTTTGAGCAAATGCATTTTGATTCAGATTTTATTAATCTAGATCTTAATGCTGGGGGCTTCTTTGAGACTAGTTACGAGGGTGGTCATCATAGTCAGCATCTAGGCGGTGACGATATCCATAATGATCAGGAAGATGATCAAGATCATGAGGATATTCGGGATCAGGAGCATGATGATGATGCTGAGCATTCCTCTCATGATCATGATGAGGGCGCTGATCAGGGACAGGGCCCCAGTGATGGTACCATGCCTTTTACACTGATTGCTTTGGGTAAGGGACATCGGAACATAAAGAAGAAGAAAAAGTGCTGCATGACAGATTCTCGGGAGAAAAAGCGCAAGATGTAGAAAAATTAGATTGAATTGTACTTTTATTTTATGCTATTTTATGACTTTTGTTATTAGTTTTAAGCAATACCTTTCATTTCTTTTCATTAACAATTTATTTCAGTTTTATTTAATCTTTAAGATAAAAAAAAAATTAAAAGGCAAACATTAAAGAAGAAAATTTCTCAAAAAGACAATATTATTTACAATTTTTTTAACTCTTACTTTTATACAATACTATCTTTTTTGTCGTGCCAAATTCAAGTTTCCAGGTCGCCAAAAGATCATTGTTAGAAGGAAGTGTGGTTTTATTAAGTTTAGTAGGACTAATTATGTTAGATGAAAGCAAGAAAATATGATTGTTCCTGATGGTGTCAATGCCAACCGTCAACCTGGAATAGCCTTCTTGGAAGCAGCTCTTCAGAGCGTTTTATTGAAGCACTTTCTTGTTCAATTTTCATTGTGGTACTGTGCAAATGTGATCTGAGGACATTGACCACATTATATTTTTGCCATTTTCCTTTATATTATGTCAGATTCTAAAAGTTTTAGTTTTTTTCCTTACTTTAAATGAATTGATTCTAAGTTTTATTATGTAAAAACTATTATTATCCTAAAATTAATAAACTTGATTTTTTGACATTATATTTTTAATGATGGTAAGTTTTTAAATTGAAACCAAATAAAAGTCAATTTTTTAAAAAGCAAACTTGGTTACAAAACGCAAGATTATATTCTAATTTTTCACTGAAATTTTAATTTACTTCTTATTCAAATTTTATTATAAATACATTATTCAATTTCTGTTCACCAAATATAATTTTTAGGATTGCAATTCTATTTAAAACTAACATAAATTTACTTAAATCAAATGAATACTTTAAATTTAGAAAATTTAATTTGCAATTAAAATAGCATTTTTTTTTTGAAATATTAGAACATTTTACCAACCAAAATATTTAATTTACAACATTTCATTTTATACCAATTTAAAGTTAGAAAACAATTTTTAAATACAAATTTAAAACATTCGCATATGGTATAGGCGAAAAAGTTTATTTTCGCATATGGCATATGCGAACACTTATAATAATTATAATTATCCAGTTTTAATCCAATGTCTTTAATGCATTGTAATTAATTCAATACATTTTCACATTTGCCGAACGCGGAAGTTGGTTTTTTCGCATTTGCCAATTGCGAGAAACATATTTCTTCCAACCTCCGAAAACCTAGCCATAGTCCTGCTTACACCACCACTTGAAAGCATATTTGTGTTATTTTTTCCAATTTTCTTGGAGGGAGTAATAAATAATGATGGTCATTTTTCCTTTAGGTTTCATATCCGAGATTCCACTAAGACCAAAGAAATTCACCTGCGATCGAACGGGTCTTTGTATATTATGCTGCACGAGCCGGTATGATCAAACTATAAAAACCAATCAAACCCTAATCACAAAACCAAGCCTAAACAACAAAACCAAACTTCTGATGCTCCATGTCTACGGTAAGCACCCCTCGAAAGTTTCTAAACACATCTATCATTATACTAATTTTTTATTCTCACGGCACCTATATAAACTATTAGGGATCGATTGTTTTCTTATTATTTTATGGGTGTGTGTGTGTGTGTGTGTGTTTTTTTTTTTTTGGGAATTATTCGGTAGATGCAATCGAATTTTTTGGTATCTTTTCGGTTGTAAGAGTTTGCATTCAATTCCAATTCCTCTTTCCTAGCTATACCATTAATATTCTAGACAAGCCGAAAAAAAATTACGGTAAGCACCCCTCGAAAGTTTCTAAACACATCTATCATTATACTAATTTTTTATTCTCACGGCACCTATATAAACTATTAGGGATCGATTGTTTTCTTATTATTTTATGGGTGTGTGTGTGTGTGTGTGTTTTTTTTTTTTTGGGAATTATTCGGTAGATGCAATCGAATTTTTTGGTATCTTTTCGGTTGTAAGAGTTTGCATTCAATTCCAATTCCTCTTTCCTAGCTATACCATTAATATTCTAGACAAGCCGAAAAAAAATTACAAAAATAGTATAAAATACTCCAAAAGGGGGCTAGAAATTTTTACTTGGTTCCAAACATTTTATTTGTTCAAAAGTTAAGAACAAGAAATTCATAGCCGTCGGACCATTGCGTGTTTAGAAGATGGAAGCGGCGGCGCACTGTGTGGGACTTGTTCCTTGTCTGACCAAAAAAGCTCCCTTTTCCCTTCCCCGTGGATGCGCAAAAGATGCCTTAAACCCTAGTTCCGCTTTCATTCGGTTTGGTGAGATTTATGAACTTATTATTTGTTTCTCAAGTTGTATTTTGGGCATACTTTTTTAGCATCTGAAATTTGTGAGAATTTTCTGTGATATATAATTAGGAGAGGATTGTAGATGGATTATGGTTATGGAAAAACAATGAATTTCTTGCATAATTTTCTTGTCTCTCGAAGTTGAATGATAAATCTGTGATTTCTGATAATAGTATATATATTAATGGTGGAATTTAGAAATTTGTTGATGAGATTATGGATTGGTTCAGAGCAAGAATTCCCGGGACTTTAAATGAAAGTGAATGAGAATATTGTGCAAGTTTTTGGATAAAAATTGGGGAATAGCTTTTGGATCAGGGTTTTATAATTCTGAAATGCGTGTTCATGCACATATCTACTACACCTAAGACAAGGCCAAGTATGTGTTATCAAGCAACTCAACAACAATAACTACAACTCAATCATATGAATTATTACTCTATAAAAGCTCGAAAATTTATGAATCAATGAGTATTAAAGAACTAGAAACACATGTGCACCATCTTATTTCGAGAAAGACTAGTTGTCATCAAGATTTAAATCAGTGATGAATATGATGGTAATAGGCCTTTACTAGTCATCTAAATCTTTTACTATCACTTTTGAGTGATTTGAATTCAACAAAGCAGCCAAAAGTTACAACAATAGGCACATCTAGAACTATTTTTTAGTTACAAATCATAAGTCAGCGTAGATCAATTAGAATCAATATCCATAATCTGGCAGTTGGGGAAAATGAAAAATATGCTGGCATTTAGGACAAGATGTCTCATTCCTATCTCATCGTATATTCGGATCTTGTTTCTCCTTTCCAAATTGACCCATTAATACAATACCACATAAGAACTATCTCCGTTCCGGAAAAAAAAATAGTTCACATTAAAATTTGAGGTCTAAAATTATCCTTTTTACCCTTAGTTACTATATACACATCAGTTAGTATGTATTTTCAATATTTTTTCTCACTTATCCTTGTTCTTATATTTATTTGAGTTGTTTGGTCATTTTGATCAGATTTCCGCGCTGCGAAAAGAATCCTTCCAGCTCCTGTGGCTATATCCGTGTTGGATGAGGGGAAGACGTCTGGTTTGACAAGTTTTCGTTGGACTTCTGCTTTGCCATTGAATAAGGCTGTTACTAGTTGTTTTGCTCAGGGAATGGATGAGGATATTATTACTGATTCAGACCTTGATAGCGGTAAGTATTTCTCTGTGAATTGTTCATTTTTCTCTCAAGGCATATAATATTCTATTGTGCATGATATATATATATTTTTTTCCTTTTTTGTTGTTGTTTGTCCAGGTTCTGGAGGAGACTCTACTAAAAAGCAGCCAGATTTACCAACAAAATGTGCCGAGTACCATATTGAGACATTACGGCGCATTTTGGATATGAAGGATGCCGTCGAAAAACTAGAGTTGGCTCGGTCAGAAGCAAAGAAATCAGGAGAGAGACTCAAGGAGGAGGAAGTCGCTTTGGAAGAAGCTGAGAAGCAGTCCGAGGCTGCTCAGGCTGCTCTCAAGGAGCCCGAGGTTGCCGGATCCTGGATTTTGAACTTGTTAGCCACCAAAGGGCAGGATCTACCCAATGATTTCTGTAGCATCGCTTCCAAAGCGGCTTGTGATCAACTGGAGTTAGCTCGGTCTAATGCGAATAACGCAACCCTAAGACTTCAGGCAGCTAAAGCTTCATTGAAGATAGCTGAGGAGAATGCCAAGGCTGCTCAAGGTGCTGTAGACAAGTTCGAGGAAGAATCATCCCGGGCGATCAAGTCCGTGATTGAAAGCATTGATGCTGGATTGGACATCTTTTTCTGAGAGAATCAAACCTAAGGCTTCCAGCCAGGTAGAGGATGTCTATCTCCATTTTCTTTCCCCAAACCATTTTTCCAACATCTGGTGCCAACCAGTGGAGATGTAAAAAGGATATGGCCAGCTGTAGTTTGTTATACTCTTTTTTGCAAATTAGTTAGATGTTGAAATATGTGGAGATGAAACATGTGAACATTTTTTTTGCAACTTTACACATCCACATCGTTTACCATTTGTTTTTTAATGCTCATCTTAATCTACTCGATAATGTTCTATATTTACTTGTATTTGTTAATAATACCTAAAAAAGGAAGACAAGAAGTAGATTTCGATTTTATTACTGAAATCAAAAGTACATGCTCGGCGATGCAGAGATTTACCAAATGAAAAGGAAGAATTTTGATTTGTCTTTACTTATCTTCTCGAGAATGCTAGGAAGATCTCAAAGAAAAAAAAAAAAAGAAATGTTGTGGTCATAGTCATTCTTGCATGATGCAATTTGCAATCGTCAACTTGCTTCATGGACGGCATTGCTCTCATTACTATTTCCATGTAGATCATTTTAAGTTTCAGAATATTGCTTGAATGTACCCACCCAATTGAGTTCAAGACTTGGTAGGTGTAACCCATCTACCAACTCTACATGTGATTTCATTTTGAAATCAGCGAGATTTCACTTCAAAACCAGCGACTATGAATGGAATAACTTGTGGTATTTATAGTAATCAAGTTTTAGCTTACTATTTCTAATTTAAGACAAATATCATTCGATTACTTTCAAGTCAAAAGGATTTTAAAAAGATGTAAGTGTTTGAAGTCATTGCTCCGACTAATTAGGATTTGAACCGGTAAGTCCTTTTTGAGAAACAAAACTCTTTCAACAAATATTTTAATCACTATTGCATGTCCATGCGTGAATTTGATCCATGTCATAGTTAAATTGGCTAAATCCCTTTACTAATTTAAACTAACTTATTTTGTTATACATGTTATCTTAACCCCCAATTACCTGTTTCTTGAACCTTAAAAAAAAAGGTTTCTAAAGAAAAATGGAACTTAAACTTTAATTTGAAATTCTTAAATCAAAACAACAAGAGCAAAAATAGATGGCAATATGTGAACTACAACTTTAATTTGAAATTCTTAAATCAAAACAACAAGAGCAAAAATAGATGGCAATATGTGAACTACAGAACTTTTACATTTAGATGACATCACATTCACACCTCAAACTACGCTTCAAATTCAACACGATGACATCAACAGCTTAGACCACGGACCAAGTGATCTGAACTCGGCCTTCGTGTTCATCCAAACCTAATGCATTCCACACAGCCTCCGAAGCATCCACAATGTAATTATCACACGGCGGCTGAAATGCATGCTCTTCGTTGCAACCATGCATCGAGTCACACTCGTCCACCACTATCGCCGTCGTGCTTCTGCCGTTACCGGCGGTGATTCTGATCATCTTCCCCCACCTCGACCCGTCGGAGAACCACCCGGTGGAAAGCGCCACCACACTTTCACAGTTATGGTGGTAGAAGCCATCGCCTTCCGATGGATCCCCTCCGTCCTCATGCTTGTCGGTGGTGACTAGGTGGCGAGCACGTGTACGTGGATTTAGTTTCGCCGTGACACGTGAAAGTCCCGGATGGACTACAGTCATCTGACGTGGATGATCCGGAACCCGAAGATGTAGTACTTCCGGCGGCTCAGATATTGGTTCCGACGACGGGGTCATCGTTGCATTTTCCGTCCATGCAAATTAGTCCGCCGTCACGGTCGTCTGAAGCTGTGCATGAACCACCGCAGGAGGCGGCGGTTGCTAGGGATGCAAGGAAAACCATCAAAATGAAAAGGGAGAACAATATGAAGTTTGCCATGGTTAATATATAAAGGGGAAACTACTTTGAAATCAATGGTTTGATGTAGTAAAGAATTAATTAAGCTTGTTTTGTGACTGGAGAATGGAGTGTTTAGTACAAGTATTTATAGTTACGAATGCTACGTGCTGGTTATTAAAAAAAATAAATAAACCAAAAAAAATTGTACTTGAGAATCATTTTGACTATAGACTGGTGAAATACTGAATTTTTACTCGTGTGTATGTCAACTTGTTATTGTTCGTCCATGAGGGCTGTTTAATTAGCATTTCTTACCCCGTGAGAGAGAACCTGACAAAGGCTAAAAGTTAAGACTGTGACTTATACCATAAACACTTTGGCTGCATCTGCATGCATTCTTTCACATTGATTGTACCAGACGACATGGTCTTAACTCTAAAACTATATGACACACTCTCTGGGGAAACTGATTAGGAGATACTCGATATATCTTGTACGATAGAGTTGATACTTTCTATTCTTTACATACATTGAATCCCTTCTATATATACATAAAAAAAAAAAATCACCTAATTATTCCCATAAAAGTATTTTAATTTGTCATAAATTTCATTTAGTATTTTTTTTTAATTGAGAAAAAATTTTAAAACCGTTGAAAATAAAACATGGAAAGAGAGATATAAAACATGAAAACTCTCCGTTATTTGATATAAAATGAATACAACTTTGAGCCATATAAATAGACTCTTAAACAAACCGAATAACTAAAATATAGGGAACAAAGATACCAATCCATGATGATTCTAATGATATAATCCGATAAGATATTTTACCAACAACCCAAAAGACTAGGTGAAATATTAATCAAATTCCAACTAAGAATCATATCTCAACAAAAATTATATTTTAACATTAATTGTGATCTCCTAATTATTATGAAATATTTTTAAGATTTTTCTTTTAATCAGAAAAATATTAGGTTAATTATATGATAAATCAAATAGCTTATAATAGGGGCAGAGGGAGTATTAAATTTGGTTTTTTGGTTTAGCAGAAATGTTATTTGTCTTTTCTATATTGTCTAAATTGTATTGCATGCTTACTTGTATTAGCGCGTAGCTGTCACTACTAGGATTAATGTTCGTAGGGCTGGTCATTTTGACCCACGGTTCGGATCGAACCGATGATCCGAACCGAACCGATTCGAAAATTTAGTTTTGGTTCATATCAATTATTTGAAAGAATGAAATGGTTCAGATCGTTTCGGATTAAGTAAATATCTAAATTGAACCAAATTAATTTAAACAAAAAATAAAAATAATAAATTTCAATAATTTCTGACGTTGGCCGCCACCGACTGCAGTCATCAATAACTTCCGGCCAAAAATTCCGGTAACGTCGTCGGCAAATTGATTTTTCCAGCCAAAAATTCAGGCGAAATTGCTGGAAAATCGATTGTTCCGACGACCGGTGACCGGCACCGGCAAAATGACATCATCGTAATATTTTGATGACATCATCGGATATAAAATGATTCTTTTCGGATCAATTCGGTTCAGACCTGAAATTTAATCCGAACCGAACTATAATGATCGAAAAGAAAGTTACCCCATTTCCGAACCGATCCAAACTAACGGTTCAGTTCGGGTCGGTTTTATGTAAAAGAACAGCTCTAAATGTTGGTTTACGTGCATACATATGAAAACAGCACCAATGCACTTGTATTTCTTTATTCATATATTTTTCTTGCCGAGTAAATATGTATATATGTGAATTATGATGTAATACATAGCTCTGGCTCACAAAACACCAATGCACTCGTGATTCTGTGTCGGAAATTTCACTTAGTAAATGTAAACGGATATATATTTTTTTGTCTCAATATGATTATTCCATTTATCATATAAATTATTTTTACTTAGTACTTACCATAATATTCAAATATAATTTGCTAAATTAATGTAGAAAAGGTGTAGTGAGTTTCTGGATTTGTTTGAATTCGATGGATAGAATTTGTTCACGACTTGATGTTTGACATATATACCATCTAATTAATTATGAGTCCAATAGCATAATGTGTATCAAATGGACCCTTCCGGTAGTTATATTTCGGATTCACTTGTTACTTGTCCTTGAAAAATATTACACACTTAAAAAAAAAAAAAAACAGTAACAATAAGACATTTAAACTCAGTATTTAAATGCGTTTACATGGCACATCGGAAGGCGGAAGAAACAAAGAAACACATTGATGTTGTTCACGCGTGATACGAAAAATGAAATGACAATTCCATCTAAGCCTTAAATCTACATATGAATGATATAGTTTAGTTCTTCAAGTAAGGTCGTAATATAGTTTGGTTCTTATTATGCCCGCTTCCGTTACCTTCCCTCTAATAGCGGCGGCATAGAACACACGTGTAATCATACTTAAAGTACTTTGTAAAAAAACCAAATTAAGTTTTGAGATTTTTACTAAAAACACCATAAATTTTAAAAAATATTTCTTTGAGATAGAGGAAATACATATTAAGAGTATAACATGTAAATCATTGTGGAGGAAAAATGAAATGAAAATGTTATAAATTAACATGATTGCTCTTTTCATCGATCACTAGAAAATTTTATAAGGTAATTAAATTCTTTCTAGGGCTTTAAAAAGCATGGCCTTTATTGCCTTTCAAAATTTCAACATTAGAACTAGGTGCAAAATGTGTTTCTGCTCGAACAACTTTGCTTTATTATTTATAACAAGCTTATACCTAAATCTAAAACACATTACTCCCATTTTAATTGAAACTGTATAATTCATCAAGTGGAGTAAGGATCTTATTCCGAAATTTGTGGTGGAAATTATGATCAAGCCATGGACCAAGTAACCGGAACTCTCCCCAAGTTTTCATCAAGCCCTAAAGCTCTCCAAACAGCATCAGACCCATCAACAATGTTGTCATCACAACCATGGTTACTGTCACATTCATCTACCACCTTTGCAAATGCTCTCTTACCATTCTGAGCCCTAATCTGAATCCTATGGCCACACCTCGAGCCTCCGGCATACCAACCGGTGGAAAGGGCAACGATCATTTCGCCATTACTATGAAATCTTCCGTCACATTCGCAAGCTCCACTACCACCACCGCTAGAAAAATCATTCCAGGTAAGTATTGCCGGGGTAGAACCAGTAACCGGTGGAGAACTGATTCCGGCCAGCGCAGAAGAGCCTAAAAAAGTGATAGAGACATACAAGGAAAGTAAGATTATCACCTTTGAGGCCATAGTTGAGATTATTGAAACAATGACTCAAAGTTGATGGATGCATGATTCCCCCTGCAAAGTACACACATTTATAGCATGCAAATCATGGATGAAGTTTTTCCAAAGCTCAAAAACATTGGATTTGGCTCCGGTCGAGGACGAAATCATGGATTTCCCGATGAATATTGAAGTTCCAGTGACACAACAAATATCGTAAGAGTTAAGATTCTTTTTCTTTTCCCTTCTTTTTCTTTTTTGTCCTGAATTACACGGTCCCTTTCATGAAGCCGGCAAAAATAGGAACAGTTTCTTCGCATAACAAGAACCCGAGAGAATCTGTTAATACTAGCTTTGATTCTTCTTGTTGTGATTTTTTGTCGTTTGGCTGTCGATGTCGCGAGATTGTGCTTAACACTGAACAGGGCTGCTTCTACCGATTGACTTTGTCGTTTTATGATCTTGTGGTTTAGTGTCTTGTTATTGTGAATTGTCTTTATTACAGAAGACATGCACAAAAACCCACCAATTCACCAGATTCCTTACAGAAACGTCAAATCCATTAGGCTGTGGGATATGTTAGGGGTGGTGGTGATTGCGGAAGGAACAAGGTGCAACGTGAACTCCATTAATATTAGGTAGGAAAGAAATTTATCCAACCGGATTTAAAGTTTCAAATGAAACCTGTATTTTGTGAAACAAACTTTGCAGCATATTACTTGGCCTGTAGTTGGTTCATGAGGTATCGACAACTTCATGTGTTATTGTCTGATATATGTCCGTGGCTGAAATGCGATTTCATCAGAATTTCTTCGGAACGTGTGTAATTTTAATTTTTAAGGTATTACACGAAAAAAAGTTCCAAATGAAAGAAGTTTATTTGTTCTTTTTTTTTTTTTTTGTGCAAGAAAAGTAGAAAGGAGTAGTCAAGATTTAAAACTTTAGAGGCATCCCAAGCAACAAAAGTTCCAAAAAAACGCGTCCTTTTATTCTCGGCCAAAGGCAAATAATTTGGGTCTAACAAGTCAACCAAAATTGTGATATGTTATCTCGTATACTTTTTTTTTTACAATGAAAGACTTCGAAACCTGAAAAATTCAGATAAAATATTCTAATTGCACCAATAACGTTATGCTTCAATCACAATTTCATTCCAAAAGGTGGATCATATAACCACCATAGATCCCATCCGGTAAAAACACCTTAGGAACACTTTAGTGCTTACCAATATCTATGTAACACTTTAGTTTAGGTTTTAATTTCCTCGTTGTAAAGCCTAGTTAACCTATATTTTCTCTAGAAAATAAAACTGGTTAGAGAAATCCATCAAAATTGGAGGCGCAACAGGGGTCTAGGAGTTTCGGTGTAGAAATCTTTTCTCTTAAAAAAATATACAGTATGTTATTCTCTACAACTAATCAACCGAAAAAATAATATACGCGCATACATAAATGAATGAACAGATAAAAGAAATTTGGTGCATCGAAGTTAAAGTGCAAATACATTTAGTGTAAAAAAATGTTTGAAATATTTTAATTTTATATTAAATTTGGTGTAATTATAATGAAATGGTTAGAGTTACTTTAATATGAGATGGGACAAGTTATTATCGGAATTTTCCACTAACTATGACGTGTTACTGTAATGTCTAAACTTTCGAGTCATTCATTAATTGTAAAACAGGGGAAAAAAAACATCAACAACAACAACCAAACGAAAGGAAGGTGATAAATATTTGTATGAAAAAAAAAGAAGAAAGGGAAGGTGATAATGAATTAAACCTAAACTATAATTAAATCTAAACTTGAAAAAGATGAGAGAAATACTTGAACTAACTTTTGCAAGTGTAATCACACCCCATGATAAATCAACGCAAAATATGCTTTGAAATCTGAATGACTAGATAAATAACGAAGTTTTTATTTAATTGTAAATCTTAATTAAAGCTGGTAACTTAAAGCGGTCTTCTTCCTTAATTAAAGTCAACAGTCCCATAATGACATCAGCAGCGTGACGTTAGCCTTACACCATGGACCAAGTAACTGGAACTCGTCCAATCTCTTCATCCAGTCCAAGAGCTCTCCACACAGCATCCGAACCATCCACAATATTATTATCACACGGCGGCTGAAACGCATGCTCTTTGTCGCAACCGTGCCTCGAGTCGCACTCGTCCACCACTTTCGCCGTCGTGCTTCTGCCGTTTCCGGTGGTGATTCTGATCATCATCCCGCACCTCGCCCCATCGGAGTACCACCCGGTTGAAAGCGCAACCACTCTTTCCGAATTATCATGGAAACTCTCATCGCATTCCGAAGGCGCTCCGCCATCCCCGTTCCGGTCAAAGTCGTTGAGGGTGAGAATAGCGGGCGTTGACCCGGTGACAGGTGGCGAGCATGTGAACGTGGATTTCCTTTGACCGTTACACGTGAAAGAACCGGACGGTCTACAACCATCTGACGTAGATGATCCGGGACCGGAAGGTGTGCTAGGACTAGTACGTCCAGCGCCGCAGGTATCGGTTCCGACGTCCGGGTCATCGTTGCATTTTCCGTTAATGCAACTTAGTTGGCCGTCACAATCGTCTAGGTTCTTGCATGAACCACCACAGGAGACAGCGGTTGCAAGGGATGGAAAGAAAACAACAACGTTGATCATGAAAATGAAGAAGGAAAACAAGATGAAGTTTGCCATGGTTAATTATATCAAATGGAGATTATTCTTAAATCAAACTGCGATGATGATGAATTTGATTTTGTGTGAGAGAATAGAGTGTATTGTAGCAGTATTTATAGAGTTCTAGTGACGTATATAGTTATAGTTAGTTGGGTCATATTGACTGTGGACTAGTGAAATGTACATTTTGTGTATGTCAACTTGTAGTTTGTCCATGAGGGGTACTTTATTGTGTGAGAGAAATTCCTGAAAGCTTAGTATGTGAATTAAGAATAAACATTTTTGACTGCATATGCTTTCATTCACATTACCAGACAACGTAGTCCTACACTCTTTGACACATTCTTATTAAGGCAGACTAGCTTGGTCTTTTCCGCGACACTTTTTCCCGTCCTTTTTTCGCATTCTTTTTCCTTGGTATATTATGCATTAGGTGTTCAAAATCAGTACCAAAATTCTCTCGTATTAGTTTAATATACATTGTTGTCCTCTAACACAAAGCACTGATGGACTTGTGTTTCTATATTGAGAGTTTTACTGAGTAAACGTTAAACTACTAAAAGACTACATCACAAAAATCTTAATAAATGCATCGATCAGCATCCACAACTTGCTTCATGTATAACGTACCTTACCATTTCCAAGCAGATATTCACGCCTGAATATAGAGAAAAATGTGTAGCAGTAGGGGTTTTCAGGATGTTTATTTTGAATTGTTTATTGCTTAGGAACTTGTTGATAGGATTTACTCTCTTTTCTTTTTTATAGAATTTACTTGGTCCTTAATGTATAATATTATGTAACTGAGAGGACACCTACGGCTGCCTCTACTTTTACCGTTAATTGCGTTGGATCTTTCTTGGCAAAGTTATGCTTTTGAACTCGGGGTAGTTATGTGTTGGAGATTTATCCAGAGGAGAAACCCCGACATGGAGTCCAATAAGTAAGATAAGACCCATCTGAACTCAAAATCTCAAACTAATGGGTTCTGAGACCACCTTACTTATTAACTGATTCACATGTCCTTGAGACCGCCTTACTTATTAACTGATTCACATGTCCTCATGCCTCCGATGTGGGATTCATAATCCTTGCCACATGACCCTCAACATTCTCTCCCGTCACGGGCAATCTCCACATCGGGCTTCTAAATTATCTTGACAAGCTCAAATCTGTACTCCACCTGAGTAACTGGGCCGCCCATCCCTACGCTTCCGCTCGTAGTGGGCCTTTGACTGCCTGGGTTCAGTCAGATCAACCAAGATAATTTAGGCTAAATCACCCACCCAACTGGCCCAACCTGGGCTCTGATACCACTGTTGGGGATTTATCTAGAGGAGAAAACCCGACATGGAGCCCAATAGGTAAGATAAGACCCATCTGAACTCAAAAGTTTAAGCTAATAGGTTCTAAGACCACCTTACTTATTAACTGATTCACATGTCCTCATGCCTCCGATGTGGGATTCATAATTCTTGCCATATGACCCTCAACATTATGGTCAATTTGTACGCACTACGCAGGGAATGTGTCTCTATGCAGGTAAATGTAAGTTTTGTTGGAATTTTTTATATGAGCGAAAAGAAAATAAGAGAATATATAGGTTAATAATTTTATTGATTTTGTTAATAAAATTCAAACAAAAGTGCCTTATATAGGCTTTACAAATAACCAATTAAGAGAAAATTTACAAAATAAAATGTCCCTATATCTTACATAAAATTATCACTAATTTATTTTATTTCAATCAGGGCCGGCTGAATTTCAGTACAGTTAATGAAAGTTGTTTCCTCACAAAAAAATAAAAATAAAATTTATTTAGATTAAATAATCAAATTTTAACAAACCAAAATAATAGTGATTCTTAAAAATTTTGTCTACTATGAATCAAATCTCCAAGAAGTTTCACGACAAAAGTACAAGTTGAACTAGCCGGTTTACATACGAAATTGTGTAGTGTTGGAACTTATCCGAGTTCAAATTGTGGGTGACATCAATTAAGTTTTGATACTGATTTCACCTGGCAGTGGTTGGATCACTGGATGAATTCATGAAGAACCATATTTTTCTGCATTTTAATTTTGTCCATGTTTATTGTGAGGTCAAATGCAGTTGTCCAATCTCAATATATATGGGTGTCCGTAGTATCCCTTCCACTCGTATTAGTGAATCGGTAACTTTGATCGTGTAGTTAATTAGCCTTTTTCTTCGTGTTAAAATACTTATTGGGTTCACTGCATCTACAAGAATATTAATTAGTACTACATTAGTAGCCTAGACTTTTAGTAGACGTCCTTCTCTTGGTTAATTACGGTGAATCCTAAGCACTTGATTTGTTCTTTGATAAAATATTATCTGTATATATGTAAATTTTTTTTTCCCTTCAAAATTTTAGAATTTCGAAACAAAATCAAATAGAAAAAAGATGTAAAAAACAAGAGAAAAGAATGGGAAAATGAAAGGACTACTACGAAACCAAAAATCTGCCTCCGATGACCTCCTTGCAATTGTTTGAGAATCTTTCATACCGGTTTTGGAATATAATGTCGTAAAAGTAGTGATTTCATGTCATGTATTAATTTAGAGTTAAGGCATTTTGGCTGATCATATAGTACCAAAAAGAAACAATATAATGAAAAGGTGAGTCAGAGTATCATCCGACTCATAAATGTTAAAAATCATATGCGTCTCATTGTCAAGGAATTAAATAAAACAAAAGGCTACCGACATGATTACTCTTTCCTGGAACATTAAAATATTTTTAAAGAAAATGATTTTTCTTCGCACCAAAAAGTCTGAATTTTCTTTTTAAAATTTCGTTTCCAAATTCCAAAATTGGAATTGCTATAAATTACAAGATGCACTTCATTATTGAAACAACATCAACTTATTTATTACAAGTTTATGCCTAAATCCAAATGACATAACTCCCATTTAATGAAATTGTACATATTTCATTAATTAACGTGACAGGGGATCTTATTCAGAATTTTTTTCAGTGGAAATTATGATCAAGCCATGGACCAAGTAACCGGAACTCTCCCCAAGTTTTCATCGAGCCCTAAAGCTCTCCAAACAGCATCAGATCCATCAACAATGTTATTATCACAACCACGGTTACTGTCACATTCATCCACCACCTTTGCAAATGCTATCCGGCCATTTTGAGCGCTAATTTTAATCTTCCGGCCACACCTTGACCCTCCGGCATACCAACCGGTGGAAAGGGCTACAATCATTTCACCGTTACCATGAAATCGGCCGTCACATTCGCACGCTCCGCTACCACCCCTCCTGGAAAAATCATTCCAGGTAAGTATTGCCGGGGTGGAACCAGTAACCGGTGGAGAACTAATTCTGGCCAGAGCAGCCGAGCCTATAAAATGAGTTGAAACGTACATGGAAAGTAAGATAATCGCCTTGGCTTCCATAGTTGAGATTAATCCCGGCTGCTTTTTATTTGTCTTTGCAAATTGAAACAATCACTAATAAGTTGTTGCTGAATTCCCGAATGGAATTCATACACATATTTATAGCATGGAAAGTCATGCATTGCGGTTTTGGAAAGCTCAAAAACATCGGATTTGGCTCCGGTTGAAGACGAAATATAAAATGAATTTTCCGATAAATTGGACCCCAAACACACAACAAGAATTGTGAAAGAGTTGAGAATCTTTTTTGTTTTATTTTATGTCCTAAGTTACAAAACATTATTCATGTCGCCGGCAGCTATGTATTCCCAGTTTCTCTGATTAGAAAGGACCCAAGAGAATCTGTCACTTCTAGATTTGATCCTTTTTTTGTTGTGTGGCTGTCGAAGTCGAGATTGTGCTCTTTTCACTTATTGAACGCAGCATTTTCTGCTTATTAACTTCGTCGTTTCTTATTTATCTTGTAGTTTGGCCTTGTTATTGTAACTTATCTTTTTCTTTTTTCTTTTTCTTTTTCTTTTTTTTTTTTTTTTTGGTAAGGGACATGCAAAAAAAAAATCCATCATTTTGGAACGTAATACTAAGAGAATGAATTAGTGGTGGAGATGATAGAGGAGGGAACAAGGTGCAAGGTGAACTTCTTAATAAATTAGGAAGCTACACAACAGAAATTTTAAATGAAGGATTTATTTTTTCCTTTTTGTGTCTAATTAGTGAAAGAAATTGGGGTTTACATATAGGATATCGGGTTTAACGTGAAAATACGGTTTAGTTTTTTCTTTTTGTTTAGTCAACAAGTTAAGAAGCTATTGCCCAAGTGAGGCCAGAAGGGTAGAATCTCCAACTCCTCCTTCTCATACATGTTTTCAGGTCGCAATTGTAAGAGCAATAATTACATACGTACAAAAAGTTTATATCTGGTCATGAAATTGTACTTAGAAATAAATGAGGTGAAGTTTTTTATTTTATCATAGCATGCTGGCGTCATACATAATTGGAGCTAGTAAGCTATTTCAGTGTTAATTTACATTTATATACTAAGACATTGTTACATATGGAGTCAATATATATAAAATATATCAACGCCAATTATAGGGGTGTGAGGGTCGGGGATTGAGAGTTCGATTCTCATTGGGTCATCCAATTTTTTTCAGAAGAAAAATGTCAAAGTATATAAGTACTTTGGGCTCCCATCTTAAAACCAATTGGCAATGAGTGGGGTGGCTTTTGACACTTATATACTGAGTCACTTCGGTGGCGATGTGGGAATAAGATAATACACATTTAACACCCTCTTTCAAGTCCAATGGGTCTTTGAACTTTTTGTCCAACGGATTTGGATCAGAACAGGAACATAACAAGCTCACGAGTCAATGTTCAAGTGTAAGAAAGCCAGTTATACAGCTGGATCGCTCTACAAGCCCACGAGTCAATGCTCAAGTGGGTTAATATAAAATCACCATAGGCCACCTCCGCCCCAGAACTCCACCACAGGCCTAGCACGCTCTGATACCATGCCAAAGTATATAAGTACTTTGGCTCCCATTTCAAAATCAATTGGCAATGAGTGGGGTGGTATTTGGCACTTATATACTGAGTCACTTCTATTCACGGTGGTGATGTCGGATAAGATAATACACCTTTTACAAAAAAAAAATCAACAACAATTATAAATTTTTTTTGGTAAATTAATAATCTTTTTCGTATGTCGCGGTTTATCTGTGGCGACGTCAGCAGCATACATAAGCTCATGCTTCTTCATTCTGCCAGACATATCTGAACTTGATTGACATCACTCTATGGATTGCGATAAAGTGGCTTAATTTGTTACTATTTATGGTTGTTGGCAGATGCTTGAACAAATCGACTTTTAAAGAATATCAACAAATATAATGCTTGTTTGTGGGATAACTCTTATTTTGGTACAAGGATGTGTAAGGCTAGAAATCTAAATTAAAATATGCATGAGTGAAAATACCGACAAGTTCACATATATCGGAATAAAAACGTCTTTCTCTCTCATCTCGTTTTCTCGGCGCACGACTTCTAACGTGCGCCCGCCATGGTAGGCAGGAGGAAGAAGGGGAAAGGTGTGAAAAATAAAGGGAATTCAGATGAGGAAGCAGTAAATATCGCAAAACTGGGGAGTAATTTGGGTTCTACTCGTAGATCTGGGAGAAGCGAGGCTGCACAAAGACAGGAGGAGGAGCTCACTCGACTGATTGAAACCATTGAAGGGAAGACCCCGTCGATAAGGAAGGGGAAAGGAGCCGGGGAAAGCATGGGCACAACGGTGCTAGGAGAAGAGGGACAAAAGGTTACTGGTAAGGAGCGATTGAGTGAAGGATGTCTGAGTGGGAGGAAGAAGGATGAATTGCTACCTAGGGTTTCTGAACCCAATGTTCGCCGACAGCTCAATTGGGTGGATAAATCCGAAGAGGAAGCTGGGGGAAATGCTTGGGATCGTTTCAATCCTGAAAAGTTGCGAGAACCCTTCGGGGAACTGAAGTTTACTCAGCCACAGCAACGTGAAGCGCAAAAAATTGGGAAAATTCATCTTGAAGACGTCCAAATAGAGGAAGAATACTAGAAGACTGCAGTGGTTTGTTTTGTATTGGGGGCGAATCCACCGAAATGGGTAATGGAGGAGTACATTCAAAAGTCTTGGGGTCGATTGGGCATTGATCAGGTAATACTCTTGCCAAATGGTTTCTATATTGTTAGATTTAGGACTATGTAAGCTAGAGATGAGGTACTGAATATCAGAATTCGTCAATTTGGTTCAAAACTATTTATGGTTAAACCTTGAAGTGTGGATAAAGGCATTAACTATAGAGAGGTGGATAGGGTTCCTGTGTGGATTCAGTTGCATGGACTTGAGTTAAAGTACTGGAATTTGAATTCACTAGGTAATCTAGCTAGTACTATTGGGTCTCCGATTAAGGCTAATGAGTTTACAATTAAGAAAACTAGAGTTCAATATGCCAGGTTGTTTGTTGAAATGGAACTCTCAGATAATGTGCCAGATAAGATAGTATTTGAGGATGAAACATGCAATGTTAGAGTTCAGAAAGTAGTATATGAATGGTTACCATCGCAGTGTAAATGTTGCAATGGATATGGACATCGTACTGAGGAAATGTAGAATGAAGGTGACTGTTGTAGAAAAGAAAGTGCAGAAACCTGCAGTTGAGTGGAGGAAAGTGGATACACCTGTGAGAGAGGTAGAGGGATCTGCTGTTGGAACTCATGATCAGACGAAGAAGATAAAAACCGTTAAACAGGTGTCAACTGATGGTAATGGTGATAAAAAGGTCAATGGTTGTCAAGAATCTCAAAGGCAAAGGGGCAGTATTGAGGTAGGTGGTGGTGTAGGGGAGAAGAGAGTTAGTACTGATGACCATGTTACTCAAGATATAGCTGCTGGGATGTCTCAACCTAGGATACCCAAAAAAACTGTTAGTGAATTGGATGTCGGTACTAACTCACATATTACAAATAGGTCTGAGGAGGGAGCTAAGCCCAATCTGGATCCTATTTTCTAATGTGTAAAGTCTTATCATGGAATATACGGGGTTTGAACTCTCCCCTAAAACAAAAAGAGTTGAGAAGGTTGGTGGAGATTAAGAAGTATAATCTGGTAGGTTTGTTGGAGAGTAAATTGATACAGTTAAGGTGTGATGAGTATCTTAGTAAATTTTGGTAGGGATGGAGCTGGACTACAAATCATGGGTGCCAGGGTAGGGGGAGAATAGTATTAGTATGGGATGATAGCTCGGAAATTAGAAAGGAGTTTGAGACAGATCAATGTATACATTGCCAGTGTATCTAAAAAATGGTAACCAAAAGTTTAGCATGACATATGTATATGCAGCCAATGAAGCAGAAGAATGAACTAAGCTGTGGAATGATCTTATGTTGATAGCAAGGGGTATTACTGGCCCTTGGGTACTACTGGGAGATTTTAATAACATTCTTAAGCCAGAGGAGAAACTAGGAGGGAAGAGCATGGAGTTAACAGACTATGAAGAATTTCAGTATTGCCTTGAAGAATGTGGTGTTCAAGATTTGAGGCAAAAAGGGAGAATGTACACTTGGTGTAACCAGAGAATAGGAGCTGATAGAGTGTATTCTAAAATTGACAGGGTGCTAGCAAACGGGGATTGGGTAGATGTATTCAATGATTCTCTGGTTTCTGTCATGCCGGAGACTATTTCTGATCTCTATTTCAGAGGAAATTAAGCCATGGACCAAGTAACTGAAACTCTACCTAAGTTTTCATCAAGCCCTAAAACTCTCCAAACAGTATCAGATGCATCAACAATGTTGTCACCACAACCATGGTTACTGTCACATTTATCCACCACCTTTGCAAATGCTCTCCGGCCATTTTTAATGCTAATTGAATCCTCCGGCCACACCTTGACCCTCCGGCGTACCAACCGGTGGAAAGTGCAACAATCTTCGCCGTTATTATGAAATCGCCCGTCACATGCACTTGCTCCGCTACCACCACTCTTGGAAAAATCATTCCAGGTAAGTATTGCCGGGGTTGAACTAGTAACCGGTGGAGAACTAATTCCGGCCAGCGCATATGAGCCTCTAAAAGGCAAACACAAGACAGTGATCAAGGTAAGTAAAATTATTATCTTAGCTGCCATAAATACTAATTAATTCCGACGGCTTTTATTCGTGTTTGCAAATTGAAGCAATGACGCAAAGTTGGGTTGTAGAGTTCCACAACAGAATACACATATTTATAGCATGAAATTCTTTCATAACTCTTTCGCAAAGATCAAAAACATTGGATGTGGCTCCGGTGAAAGACAAAATCATGGATTTTCCGATGAATTGGATCCCCAAAGCAGCAAACAATCATCGTAAGAGTTAAGATCGTTATTGTTTTATTTTCTGAGTCCTAAATTACACTATAATTTTTCCATGAAGCCGGCAACAATATTTGCAAAGAACCAAATAGCACGTTTGTCGCGAGATTGGTTCTTTTTTTCATTTTTTTTTTTTTTGGGTACAAAACTACAAATGCGAGATTTGCTCTTTTTTTGTTAGTGTTTTTGACATTTTTGGCTGTCGAACTCCAGAATGTTCGTTCGCCCCCAAACCCCACTCCAGAATGGGTTGATTCTGCTGTTTAACTTTGTCGTTTCATATTATTGTAGGTATTATGCTTTGTAATTATAAATTGTCGTTATTACTATCTCCGTCCCAAAAAAATAGTCCACGTTGAGTTTTTTTAGATATGTACTGTTTTTAGTACAAATTTCAAAATTTAAAGTGGACTATTTTTTTTGGGACGGAGGGAGTATTAAGTAATAACATATGCCTAAAATCCATCAGTTCGATCCCTAAGAGAAACGTATATACGTACCCATCGAACGATTTACACGTCAGTTGGGGGATTCAAGCGGTGGTGGTGGTGGTAGGGGAGGAAACCAAAGGCGCAATATGAATTTTTGTTTAATCTTTTTTACTTTTAGGAGCAAGGAGATCAAAATAATTCAATTAAATCGTCATAATTCTTAAATTTAGTGAAATTGCGAAAAATTAATACAACAAAATCTCTCTAAATTAATTTTTTATTAATTAATTATTCCTATTCAATAATATTATTCTCCGGTCCTAACTCGGGACCAATTCAAAAAATGAAAAAAAAAACTCGACTATTTTATAAGATAATAATTTTTTCAAAATCTCTTATGTACATATAGGTCCCCACGATTTTATAAATTGATAAATACTTAAAATAATAAATTATATTTGAAGCTTAAGTAAGATTTAGGCTATTCAAAACAAAAGGAATATCGAGAAAGTTTAAAAAGTCTTTTCTCTCTGACTGTATGTGAAAACACACCCACTGTGTGTTCTTCGCGAAGATTTCGCTGACGATCAAATCGTCTGCCAATGACGAAGAAATCGAAGAAGCAAGCTGAGAGTAGGGCAACGGAACTGTGAGAGCAATCTGAGGAGGAACGGAGCATCACCAGAGTAGATCTCAATCCAAATCGGAAGGAAAAAGGAGAGGTACGAAAACCTAATTATGCATTTAATGATACGAATTCATGTATGAAAGATTCTATTTATGCAATTAATGCTTATCCTAGCTCCAGTAATATGTTCGAAAGGATTTATAATAAAAAAAATTGTAGCTGAGGGAGGTAATTCCATGTTGAATTTGGGAAAATTAGATGAGGAAAACAGCCAGAATAAGACTGAGGGAAACATCTGGAATCACTTTGATCCTAAGAAATTACAGAAAGCTGAGAAGTCTCTGAGATACATTAAGCCTGATGTAGTGAATAACTGAGTAATTGGGAAGGTAACTACTGATGAAATTCAGGCGAAAATTAAGTATTGGAGATCCTCTATCCTCTGTTATGCCTTAGGAGCAAATTCTCCATTTGCTTTTATGAATGGTTTCATACGCAGATTTTGGGGGCAGCATGGAGTGGATAAGGTGTTGTTATTAGAGATTGGGATGTATGTGGTCAGATTCAAAACTAATGCAGCTAAGGATGAGGTGTTGAAGCAGTATATCTATCATTTTGATAGTAGACCTTTGATTGTGAAGAATTGGTCAGTTGGTGAGGATATCAGAAAGGATGAAATACAGAAAGTTCCAATCTGGATTCAATTGCCTAGTTTGAACCTCAGATATTAGAATGCCACAACATTAAGCAGACTAGCCAGTATATTGGGGAAACCTATTGAAATGGATGATATGACAAGCAAAAAACTCAGAACTGCTTATGCTCGAAGATTGGTAGAGGTCGATATAATTGACAAACTTCAAGATATAGTTTGGTTTGAGGATGAGCATGGTGACCTGCAGGAATAGACTGTTAGATATGAATGGAAGCCTATGAAGTGTGCAAATTGCAAAGGATCTGGGCATGAAATAGCAGTTTGCAGGAAACCAGTAGAGAAGACATGGCAAAAGCAAAAGAAAGATATGCATCAGGCAAAAGTAATGGAGGAAACACCAAAGAGTACACCAAAAACAGACAAAGGGAAAGAAGTTATTCAAAGTCAAGGAGGCATTGTTCAAAAGCAGAAACACTCTCCAAGTAAAGCAAGCAAACTTGACATTGAGAACCCCCCCCCAAAGGATGAAAATTCAGCCTCAGAAGGAAGTATCAGAATACTCAATCATAAGGATAAAAAGGTTAATGAAGCCAGGACATACAATAAGGAAAGATCAATGAATGGAATATGTTACCAAGATACTAGTCACCCTAATATAGGGCCTAGTAATCATGAGTAACATCCTTTCATGGAATATAAGGGGACTTAACAGTCCCCTGAAATACAGGAGGGTAGGAAACTATCTCACTGTAAATAATGTGGGTGTTGTAGGCCTAATAGAAACAAAACTAAATGAAGAAAGGGTGAAGGAACTGATGGAAAAGAAATGGTGTTGTTATGACTATAAGAGTAATCATGAAAGGAAAGAAAATGGTAGGCTGCTCTTGTTATGGAAGAAGGGTGAATATGTTGTTTAGATAATACAAGTGACTAAGTAATACATACATTGCTATATCACAGAATTGGGGATGGAAAGGGAGTTTTATCTCACTTTGGTGTATGTTGATCATACAGTTTAAGGAAGACAAACTCTTGGGGGGGGGGGGGGGGGGGGCAGCTAGTTGGTTTATCTCAACCTGTCACAACTTCTTGGATTATGATTGGTGATTTCAACTGTATAGTACAGCCTGAGGAAAGACTTGAAGGAATTACTGATCTTAGCCTAGATACAAGGAAGTTCAAAGATATGATAGAACAATCTGAAATGCTGAATATGAATACACATGTATGGAAATTTACTTGGACAAATAAACAAGTGGGGGATATGAGAATTATGGCCAGACTGGATAGAGCTCTTATCAATATAAAATGGCTGCAGGAATTTTCTGATGCATATGTTATAGTTAATCTTGCTGGTTTGTCAGATCACAACCCTCTGATTGTCAAATGGGGAGATCAAATGATGAATAATCAGAAATCTTTCAAATACTTTAATATGTGGTCACAGCATCCATAGTTCAAAGAAATAGTGAAGAGCACTTGGAGTATAGAAATTCAAGGATGCATACAGTTCAAGGTAGTCAAGAAGTAAAAAATGCTAAATAGTAAACTGAAGGAGCTTAATAGAAGGGAATACAGTTGCATAGAGGATCAAGCACAAGAATGGAAGATGAAACTTGAACAGATCCATGAAAGAATGATGAATGATCCTTTGAATCAGGCACTTCAACTGGAGGAAAAGAAGATCCTAGAAAGCCATGTGCAAAGTACAAAAGCAGCAATGAGCTTCTAGAAGGAGAAGTTAAAAGAAAGATGGATAGTGGAGGGTGATATAAACTCAAAGATTTTTCGTGCAGCACTGCAGCAGAAGAATACTAGAGGTAGGATCAGATCTTTCATAAATCAGGAAGGGGAGATAGTAGAGGATTGGGAAGCTGTTCAAGAACATTTCATCAGCTACTATGAAAACCTACTTGGGAAGGAAGTAGATAGAGCACATGCCAAA